TTTAAAAATAGTATTAAAATATATTAAAATCGAGTACTCGATACGGAACAAAGGATAATATTTTAATCATTTAATTATCTTATATTACTTTATTGTGATTGACGGACAATTTTAATATATTTTAATACTATTTTTAAATAAAATCACAATATGACGCACCTACAATATCTTATAAATAATGTTTACTGATCTATCCCCTCCACCCCACCGCCTAAGAACTATAGAATTATTATTATTTCAATTTACACGTGAACTGATGTCTGAAGAGACAGTTCTGTTAAATTACAGGAAACATGTAAAAGTACGATGTAAATCATCAGTAATGCCTCGGTTATAATTTCAGGACTTACATCCCTTTACCCGGTCACCTGTTAGATTTTACAGCAAATTTCGATTTATTTCAACTTCAATCGATAAATGAAAAATTCGACATAGAGAAATAAAAATCGAAGATAGTGATCGAGAGATAATTTTAATGTGTGATTTGAGTTATAAATCTAGAAATTCTTAAAATACGAGACCTTTTGAATATAATACGTTTCAATAATAAAATAAAATACGCCTTCGACACGAGAATTCGCTGATATAAATGTCCTCATTTTGCGTCTACTGTACCTGAAGGTTTCCATAAACACCTAGAAAATTAACAAGCAATAATTTCTAAATGTAGGCTAAAAATTCTGGAATTATAAGTCATTAGAAATGATCTTTAAAAAATAATTTCGAACATGAAAATGAGTTAATTGAAAGTTGTTTCAACAACCAGAAGTTGCAGATTACGTCATAACCCGTAACCTTCTTGTAGTGAGGTCCTTTTTGTTTCGTACACTGTAACAGACTTGCCTCATTTGTCATTAAGCGACGCACCAGAGAGGCACAAAATCTCCACAAAGTGTCAACGCCATTGCCACGGGGTTTTGCCCCCACCCCCACCCCCACCCCCACCCCACACACACTGAAGCGTTCGGCGACACAACATCTTTCGGGGGCCTGCAAAGACCATCCAAGTTTCAGAAAATAATGACTAACAGAATCCAAAGCTTGGATGGACCAAAAGGTCTCATTAAGAGTATAAAAAGAGAAATTTCAATGTGTAAATTGAAACGGGTTTGGTGCTTCAACGGAGTCAGGCCTTTGGGCGTTCGTCTCTTCTGCTCGTAGGAGGAAGTCGTCTTGAGTGTGGACGTCGGATGACGGAGTGATACTCGAGTTCAAGAAAGTTTCAAATGAATCTGGAAATAACAGCGTTATCGACGGTCAAAACCTAACGCACTTGTCGACTTAAAATCATAACTTTCCATGTACCAAAAGCCTAAGAAAGATCTCGAGTAACATTTAAAATAAGAGTTCGTGGTCTTATTTCAAAATACGTAGGGCAGAACACGATATCGGCTTTATTATTACTGAATAAATACGAAACAAAACCGATTAAAATAAAATACAATCGAAAAATATCCTGATAGATATAAGGCGAAATCAACATTGAAAAATCAAAGGTAATGAGGATAGCACCGAGAACAGAACCATTGAACGTTGTAGTTGGAAACCAACAGATGGAGAATGTGGAGCATTTCAAGTACTTGGGAAGCATAGTCACGACGGACGCCCTATGCACCAAGGAAGTAAAAGCAAGGATAGCCATGGCCAAGGCAGCTTTCGTCAAGAAGAGGATACTTCTCACTAGCAAGTTGGGCTTGGAGATGAAGAAGAAACTAGTGAAGTGTTACGTATGGAGCAGAGACTTGGACACTCAGGAAGAAGGAACAGAAATACCTGGAGAGTTTCGAAATGTGGTGTTGGAGAAGA